TATTATTGAATTAACATCTAATTCAGTTACTTTTCTTTGTTTCTGAAGCCTGAATCATTAGACTGTTTCACATATATGAGTTCGTGAAAAACAGTTTAAAATATTTTTTTCTTTTTGGTCCTGTCACAGGAATCTGATACATCTTAAAAGATGGCCCATTTTAGAACACGTTTTATGGTTACAATTCTTCAAAAAATTCTATTCTTGCATTTGAYGATCCAGAAGATATCTGAAAAARTAACATAATTTATGGTGTTTGCAATAYATCWCTGAATTGCGGTCTGGCAATCACTCCCTTCCCAATCACCAGAGAGTGATCACCTATTTGTATTATTAGTTTTCATAAAGAACTATTGTGATTAAGAAATCTATAGCAAACTTTTGCTATTTTGATTTTGTACAATTTCATGAATCATTGAGTCCCCTTTAAAAAAATATCCCCTAATAACACCTGATTATAATGTGTATCATGTGTTTGTAGACAAACTCTATTCATCATGTAATGCCTGTTTGCTGCTGTTTGCATTATTAGTTTACAAAGAATCCAATAATATTGAGCAATGCTACATACTTTACCTTTTGCAAAGTCGAATACTTGTTGTCTATTCTTTTCAAACTACCACTTTGACTGCTGTCACTGTACTCATAATTATTACTGTCCCCTAGTTTGTATCCCTAAAACAGAAAATGAAAGATAATCAATCTATCAATATACTAGTAGCACCATCCAATNTGTCAATAATGGGCTGGTATGCCACTGTAATAAAGACAGTGTCATGCATATATTTCTTTATCACATACTGGCAATGTAGTTGCTGATGCTGATATTTCTAAAAGTCTTTGTAGCACTGCAGCCTCCTTTGCTCTGTCACAAAAAAATACTTAGTTGCACAATAACATATTCTTGCAGTTATATAAAAAAAACAGTTACTAATCATACACTTGAATAGGYATGTGCWACTACATCATGTTGGAGTGYTTTTACCTTGAGTCAGAYTCTTTTAAGACATATCCCATCTTTTCCTCTGTGTATCTTGCCCTTCTTTCCATGGCAAGTTTGTCGTCTTCTGCCTGAAGAATAATGTACATGTAGTCTTTTTAATCAAATTTAGGTATTTCTCCAAGTCAATTTTTCCTGGGATATTGATTTYAACTGGACTCGTCAGAGTTTGTGGAGTAAAGATAGAGGTTCAACTTAGCCAGCAAACATTTAGTGATATCCAAACAAAAAGATTCATAATTATCATTATTTATTTGTATCTATTCATATTCGCAATGTTTTTCATACATCTTTGCAATACAGATCGTCAACTGCTAATTCATGAATTCAATGAACAAAAATAAATTGCAAAATACATTACCTTGCTTGCTGTTAAACGTAGTCTTTTCAGTTCCTCTTCAGCATCACTTGCTTTTTTCTGGAGTAATGCTGCTTCTTCTTCTGCAACTCTGGCTTTTTCAGCCAAAAGCTCACCCATCTCTTCTGCTTGCATCTATGAAGTAACAGAAAGAACTACAGGTATGTATAAACATAAATATAAAGGTACAGCATTTTCTGTTGTAAAAAATAATAATAATGATAATGTAGTTTATTTTCTGTAAATCCCATTCATACTTACCAAAGCTTCTCTGCTTCTTTTTGCTTCTTCTTCACATTCATTTAATCTTTTTTCTAGTTCTTCTTTTTGTCTTATTGCTTCTTCCCTTGCTTGCTGTTCTTTAAGCAGCTTATTTCTTTCAATCTGAATAATTTGAAATCATCAAATTAGGTCATAWCATCATTATCATTTTTATCATTTGATAGCTGATCATATTTATGGYAGAATCTTGTTCATTGATCAWATAAGTATGATTCTGTATGGTTTTCATGATTTTTAAAGCAAGTAACACTATTAATAAAACATACCTGTCTGCGTAGCTTCTCTTCTTTGGCCAATGCCTTCATTTGCTGGATTTCCATTGTATCTGGTTTTCGTCTTCGTTTGAACAAGTCATAATTGCCAACACACAATTCATAAATCTGTGAGTGAATAAATGCGGACCAATTGTTAATACAATATAACCAAGAAAAATGACTGAAAAATATTTGAAATTGAAACAACTATTCTAAATCACAAATGTTTTTGTAATAAATCTTTTAGGCCTTTTCAAGAAGAAAGTTTAATAATTTATGGATAGACTTACCACTGTGCTTGTAGCTAGRCCGTCAGTTCTGAATATAAAATTAGGTGACTTTTTGTCTGTACACTCAATAACAAACTGAAAAATAACAATAAGAGTATCAAAGCTAACTAAATAATATGACAGTTAAAACATTATACCATTGTGAGCACAGGGGACAGAGATATGTTATCTCTCCTGCCTCTGTCAAAACAAGCTGTAAGGAGTGTTTTGTGCTTAAAATAGTCAATATTGAAGTAGGGTGAAGATTGGCAATTTCCTAATTTAGCAATAAGGACATGTSTTGCCTGGCTAGACCATTATTTACATTACAAATACTCACTTTTTTGTTGTGAAATGATATATTCTTAGTTTCATTCCACGGAAATGATATTCGRGGTGAAAGTTTGTTTTCTTTCTCATAAACACTCATACCATGAGAATTGATCCCTAAACACAAYGGTGTTCCTTTTTGATTCTGAAAAACAATAGACGTGTGTGAGTGATATAAGAGAATTGAATTCAATATATATATGCAGGAATGTATAAATTTTCACACACACAATGGAAGAAAATAAAGAATGAAACAATGGTTAAATTAATAGATCAATAATCAATCAATAGATTGATGGATGATTACATAAAAACAAATGAATAGATGGACTTGAGTAAAAGGATGAATAAATGGACAAATGAACAAATGAATGCATGAATAAATAGATGGAGGAATGAATGAACGAATGAAAGGATTGGTGGATATATGAATGGGAGATAAGATGTTCCATATTTCAAAGCTTTCATCTTTTAAATYTAAGTTACTTAATATTATATTTTGTTCTCAAAGTAAATAATATGCAATGAGTTAATTTACAATACCTTGATGTCAAAGTAGCTWATTCCATACATTTCTAAATCTTCAGCTAATTTGAGATACTCTATTTCTGCTTCATCTCTGAAATAGTAAATCCATTAACTCTCTCGACATTAAAGGTGCCAATATTTCTATTAAATTCTCTGTAGGGCCAGGATAGTCATTGTATAGGACAACTTGAAAATGTCATTATATTAATTCCATAAAATACTTATAGCAGTAACCGTTGCATCGCGACTTYGATGTTCAAAGAAAATGGTTGGGATTTAGGTTTTTCTGCGACTTGGGGGAGGAGCTTGATACTAATCAGCCAATGATTGAACGAGTTTTCGAAAAGCTTCACCCCTCAGATTGAAAGAAAGAACAAAACCCAGACAAACTTCAAAACAAAGAGGTCGCGATGCAACGATTTCCGCTGTAAATCAATCAATCATTCAATCCATTTGATTTTCCATTAGTCAATCAGACCTTGTAAGTCCTCTATGTTCAGCATACCAAGACGTTATCCTTTCCTCCCACATATCTGATGTCATCTGGTATTGATCTAGAACCTATAAAAACGATCATTGTTTATGGTTTCAGATTCAACTTAAAAAGATTACAATGACTTATATATGCACATTCACAAAATGTCATTTTCAATGGTTGGGAAACGATAACATATTATTCATTAATCTAAAATGAGCTGAAGTCAGTTTACCTTTTGTGGAAGAAGATGTTCATTGGTTAAGAACCCTGGTTTGTGTATTTCTTTCTCATAATCTCCATACTAAACAAGAAGTAGACATAGGAATTACTGAATTAATTCTACACTCAGAGCTAGCTGTCCAGATCTGCTATCGTCATATAGTCTGATTTTACAAACCTACTAATTTTATGTGATTCTGTTTAGAGATTGTTCACTTATATTTCAGAATAACCTTCAAGAAAGTGTCCATTRCAATAATAATCACCTTTGCTTGTACAGCATACGATGCTAATAATACTGATGCCTCTGGAGGGCAAGAAATGTCCATATTTAGGATTGCCTCTTTGACTTGAAGAAAAAACAAGTGCTTTGTGATCTCTTGTACAAGTTCTTCAGCGACGTCTTCTGGGTAAAACTTTACACGAAGATTGAAGGTCATAGGATCTTTAGTATCAACTTCCTGCTTCTTTACCTACCATGTATTTAAAATAATATCTATCTGTGATATTCAAAATAAAGAAAAGTCAAGTTTGCTGCATTCATTTAGTTTTTGAGGTTGTTTACATTCTTTTGGCATCCAGTATGGTAGATTTAGTACCATGTGACTATTTCATGTAAAAGGTCTATTTAACAATTAGACCTAGAGGTCGAGTGGACTACGAGCTAATAGCCCATGAGTCCGAGTCCGCGAGGCCGAATGGGCTATTAGCTCGTAGTCCACTCGACCTCGAGGTCTAATTGTTTTAGTATAAACATACTAATTGGTCAAATAATGAAAACAAGTTGAAAAGTCCTTAAAATAATTTATTAATGAGATGCCGCCATTTTGATTTTCCCGCGAGTGACTATCACAAATTAGACCATTAGTAGAGTAGCCAATCAAAGCGCAGTATGAGTATAGACCATTAGTATATTTATACTAATGTTTAATATCTGGAATATGAAAACATAGGGAAGACTTGTCATGAAATGAAATAAAGATCACAAAATGGACAGATTCCATTTTACAAATCATCATGGCAGTCCCAAGCTCCAATAGACTTTCAAAAATGGTATGTTTCAGCATTTGGGTTTTCTTTGGTTACAGGAATACCACACAGGAATACTATTTGCAACAATAACATGCAATTCTTCATTTGAAATGTATAAGTCAGTGGCCAAAACACGCTGCAGCCATCTTGGTTGAACTTCAACAAAGGATTTCTCACTAGTATCTATTGTTCATTCAACCAACATGGTTGCCGGTTTCTTGTCTTTTGGATCTTATGAGAATGATTGAAAACAAGCAGTAGAGGCCATGTAGCCTGTACAGGAAGCTATAGCTATAGGGGAATAATAATTATATAATAATTTAATCAAATGTTGTTGATCTATTTATTGCAATATAGTTTTGAAAGAAAAAAAAAGAAAAAGTACAGAATATATACAATTTATATTTTTACCAAAAATACAAAAGAATTTCTGATTGAAATAAAATAAGAGACACCCGTTTTGTACATATTTACTCAACATGTGCTAATACGTCTTTCATTTATCAATCAGTAAGCAATTAAAAGAACACTTAACACTTTTACTTTCTGTGAAGGATATCTTGAAGAAGAAAGAACATTACACTAATACAAACGCGGGAAAACAGGGGAAAAAATAAACAAACAAATAAACAAAAACAAWATAGTCCGAACTACTAACTTATATAAGCTTAGGTAAGCTTTACCTTCTTGTTCAACTGTAGCCATGCTAAACCTCCCTTTGTATTCTTATATTGCAAACCAAAATACCATATTTCACGAATCCCAAGAGTCCTTACCACCAAATCAAACAGATCGTTACCTTTAGCATTTGACTGTATGCAAAATAAAGCAAATTTAGTTAAAGAATCTCGTGTATACACATTAAGATAGAGGCCATCTTGGCAAAATGTCGAACCTCGAGAGGGAATTCCAGCTCAGCATCCATCGTGGTGATTTTGACGTTAAAAGAGTTTGGCATTTTGAGGCGTTCATTTGGCTTCTTACAAGCCAAACGCTAGAAGATTTTAAGCGAAAAAATCACGATATTTTCGGTAGCATCTCCGACATCACTGCATCTCGATTTGTTCCCTTTTGACTCAAAAATATTGAGTGGGTCACCGCTGACCACATATGTTAAGAATTTTTGGAATTTGGGGAATGCAAATAATTTGAATAAAATTTGTTGTATATACATTTCCCCGAAAAACTAACACATGTTTAGATTGCATAGAAGAAAATGTAAAATCAGTGTAGAAAATACTATTTGRTGACTGAACTGGTAACCCCCTTCCTTGGYCMGACGCCTGCTGGGATGTGCACAAACGATCTGATCAGGACCATTACTAGCCTGCGTTACATCCGGTTTATTTCTCCAAAATAAGGCTAGACCATTACCAATCTGATGGATGGGTGGAAAAAAACCGGGGGAGGGGGGGGGGTTAAAAAGTAAAAAGAAAAGTCACGGAATGCAAAGAAGGAATATAGAAATTAATAAATAATTTTGTCTCATGAGTAATATTCTTTTAGTTTGTCTCGACGACAAAGTGGAACGTCATAAACGGCAGTAAGTAACCCCGCCGGGTCAACTAGTACCTTTCCAAAAAAAAAAAAACAACAACAACAAATAAACAAACAAACAAAAAACCTGGTTTGTTGCGACCTTGGTTCCCCTCCAAACGATTGATATCAGATCAGTATCGACAATTGCCAAGGTCTAGGGCCTGGTCCACCATCAACAAACGACAAAGTGAAGCAATCTTGGCGTCCTTTTCCTTTTGTCTTCCTATCGTAGCCGCGGATCGGRGAACACTTATAGAGTTATTGATGACCCGTGCGGATGATCAAAACGATAGTTTTTCATGTAGCACATGAACAGCGAGAGGCTTTTTTGGAACGGCAATTGGGCACGGGCGGTGYCGCAAAGCATACTGATTCAAACGCCAACTTTAATACTCATGTGCAAATCATGCAAGATGAAAATGATTGATGCGGACTATCAATGATTCGACATGTGCAGAATCAAAAGTGCTTCGTCAAAATTGACAAACCGCAAGGATCCAACCCGCGAAGCCCGAAATTTTTCCATCCACAAATTACGAATATCAGAAATTTTCTAAAATGACCTCCAGAATGCAAATGCTTGAAAACCGATTTCGAATCAAAAAAAGTATGCTTTTATTACAGCGTCTGTGAAATTGTTACAGTTTTGACTACATTGCTAATAAATAATTGATCCATCCTTTAATTTTTTTGGGAAATTTCCAGATAGGTATGGTGGACACACCACTTTCGCACATTCCTGGCTCAGCGTATACAATAAACGTCTTAGGAATTGTCTTTACTTTAGTAAAGACAAAGATTTTGAAATGAGACTTTTACTTTTAACAAATGAAGTGTTATTTACATTTGAATCTAATGTATATATGCAATCACATAAAAATAAATAATAGGGTATTAAAACTTGCAAAGACAAATCAAGGAAAGACAAAAGTTCAAATTGAGCGATTTTCGTTTGTCTTTCTACCCTACGAGCAGAGGAATTTTTCCACTATCATTTTTTTCTTCGTAGGGGGTGGAAAAATCCTCTGTTCGCAGGGTATTGTCTTTATTATTTGAAAATTTCATTTTTTCAAGTTTCATTTTATCTTTATATGAAAACGTTTTGTGTGCAAATAATATTAAGATAAATACCTGTGAAATAGTATTATGYATAGATAGATTTTCTATTTATAAAGACAGCAAATGTGATGGACTTGGTCCTTGTGAYGGCTGGTTATCTGTTTGCAGCTCGTCAGCAATCTGTTGTAACTCCTCTATGCCTTGATATGATCGTTCATATTTGTGCCTCACCAAAGAACGATAAAAATGAACAGCAAAAACTACAAATATAAGGCAAACTGGCAAAAGAACTACCATGGAAGCTATAGCAGCTGGGTGACTGTAATTGTAGAATTTCACCCAAGAGAGAATTCCTATTTCTGCTAGAAACAGCAAAGTTCCAAATCCAGTAGAAAATATCCAGGCTAACTCAATGTAAGAGTGCATCTTGTCATGAGGCGAATCTTGCACTGAATGGTCAAAGTCATTATGATGYAGACTTGCAATGCTTTCAATGTTGGGTAAAATGCACACAGATATCATTAGTGCAAAGACATGTACTGATATCAGAATAGTTGTAATGACACTGAATGCAATAAGAATCCCTTCAGGTATTCCTTTTTCTAACTGAATCTCAACCATGGCAATCTGAAAGATGAAAACAAAAAAGAATTGCTTAAGAAAATCAGAGCTCTAAGAGGCTGTTACCTTAGACCTAGCTGTCTCTATGACATGATAAATCAATCTTGTTTTGGGCTTCCTGTGTCCTCTCAGAGGAACTGGCACAGGAAGCCCAAAATAATAACACATCTGCAGACTGACTATTGAACAATGGCTTAACGTTGAGGATGAACTACCACAACTTCTGTTCCTTGATCAGAHATGCAAATTTGGGAAGCACTCATTAATCAACCAACAGTTTTGATGGGAAAATCAAAAACTCACTGAAATTGTCCCTAGGATGACTGTGTGACAATATGAATGGGTTAAAAAATGTCTTCAATTTTTTCACTTTTTGTATGAAGTATGATCTTTGCATTGAATTCAGTTTACTAAAAAAGAACCTGATAAAAAAAATGAATCTTTATTTCATAGAGAAAAACATTTAAAAGACGAAACAGTTGGAGTTATTTGGATAACCCCAAGGTCAAATAAGATCACCACAGACAGCGTAGTACATAAACTATTACTCCTTTCTTGTGGTTTAGAATAGAAATAAACTAAAACATCTATAATGAATAATATAATTCGAACTTATAAATTGCTTATTATCGTCGGGTAAAACGTCGATTAAAAATCCAGTGTCTACCAAAAGTCATACTAGTATTGCTGTGTACATAATTCGCCATTAGCAAATAATATATACACCAGTATAGCTAAGCTAAATACAGTGGTTTATTAAAAAGAGAAGAATCATATTCTGACTGGCATACCATTGCAAATCCAGACATTAAACCAGAAGTTCTGCTTGAAGCTTTCAGTTTTCCACGGGTTAGAAACAACCGCCTCCATGATAGTCTTTTGGCATCTACGTCGTTCAGCTTGGCCGTTTCATGGTTTTCGTTCATTGCAATAGCCTATAAAGGCAAATATTATGTAAATACTTGTTATTTGATAGCTTTAAAGTCAGTTTGATGGTTTTAAACGAGAAATTTCTCAGCTGTGGCTAACATGTTCAAAATATATTTGTTTTGGCGGAAAACCGCTGGCTACAAGAGTTGCGGRTTCCGGTTTGGAAAAATAATAATGATTTCGCTCGCGCGTGGTCACATCACGTAGCCTCCAACACAACAAATAATGCTAGGTATATTAAAGGTTCTAGTAATTTTACATACCATTTGAACAAAAGGAAGAAGACTTCCTAGTGTGAAATTAAATATTCACATAAAAACATAATGAAAAGAGGACAATATATAGAGATCAATTTTTTTGAAAACGAGCCATCCCGTGAATTTTTTGTGCTTTCTAGCTACAAGCTTGGCACGTGCGCGTTTTCACGTTCTGTTGGTTTTGAACATAGGTATCGGTCAAAATATTCTGGTACAATGCAGACATGCCATGACAAGCTAGTACTTTGTTCTCTTTAGCGGAAGCGACACACAACTCAAAGCGAAACAGCAAATACTTTATTTGCATTAGATGCGAAACCAGTGTTTCTAGAGTACACGTGCTTTTCTTCTAATCTATTCGGAAGCGGCAAGGAAACAATGGATTGAAGTAATTAGTAGAGTTGTCATGACGATGTCAATCAATGTGAAGAGGGGTTTTGTGTCAATGAATAGTATTATGGTATACGACGTCCCCAATGGAAATCTACTTTAGTGACCAGTGCTTTGCATACAAGAGTGACCTTCAGATGCAGTTTATTCTGGAATCGTGTTGGGATGCTTTGATTGAAAGCGAAATATTAAACAACTATGGAAGGAAATATTGATGCAACCCGAAATCTGGTGTGTAAAGCGTAGATATGTTTTTTTTTTCGATTGAGATTTTATCCYGTTGATTATCGTTGTACCGTTGTGCGTTACTGTTGAGTCAAAGTTTTGAATCGGCCGTGACTTCTCAATTTTCTTTACATAATTCCTTTGCATCACTATTCKACTCAACATGTATTTTCCCTCCGCAATTTTAGAGAAGACAGCAGAGACGAAATTACTTGGATAATAATCAGGACGATGAAATTGAAGGCAAACGAACCTTCAGCGTCGAAGAAAAACTTGCAAGTGCGAAATTTGAAGGGACCAACTTTGTGCAAAAGCTTGTCGGATCTGGTGGGTCGAAAAAACTAATTGTTTATCCATATTTTAATAAARTAGTCAATGAAGTTTCTACATTCTGACGATAATTATAATGGCTATAGATTTTACGTTGAATTTTGTACAAGAAGGTGGCTTCAAGACCCCCATCCTCTTTGAAAACCCTGATGGATTAGGAATGAGGTACGGTTGATTTGTAGCACACGTTTTACTATAATTGACTCAGATTATTTTATTTTACTTTGCCATAACAATCAGGATGCCTTTTGATGGATTTACAGTAACAGATGTAAAGAATTATGTTGGTAAGATTTGAATTTGAGACAATTTACATCATGTATCATAACTTTGTACCTAAAGTCCATTTAGCTTATACTTATCATTTAACTTTTAATTTCTCTAACTGCTGCGCTATACAGTGCTCTTMAATAATCTTAATCGTTGTATTATAACAGAATACTATTTCTTTTTGTTTTACCGATATTATTGTGGCGTTTCAGATTTTTTTAAAGCGAAAATGTAGTAACTTAATAATTTGTTTGGGTCGTTGTAGGGGCTCGAAGACTTGTTGATGTRATTGATGTGAATACCCAACAAGCCTTAGAACTCACGTTACAAAATTGGGTCAAATACTTTACAAACCCCGAAAGAGAGAGAATTTACAATGTCATCAGTTTGGAGTTTAGTCATACGAAGCTTCAAGAAATCGTCGAGTCTCCTTCTGTGGTGAGAACTCATTCTCTTCTTCAAAGATTGCTCACTTCTTGTCCAGAAAACCCCCATTACCTCGCATTATACGCTAATATTTTGTTGTATTTCATAATTAAGCTCCATTTTTCAGATAAAAACCATTCAAAAATAAATAAATTTGTGAAACTTAACAAACGTGGTATTTTGTTCCAAGGGTTTTTCTGGGATTTCATGGAGTACACCCTCGGAGTGCTAACTTGTACAATATATYCGTTCCCCGATCCAAATGTGGAAGTTCAATTTTAAAACTTATTTTTGGTCATTTGAATTTAATATAGCGAAAAAGTTTCCTAGAACAGAATATGTGCTCTCTCTTTCAACTTTTCATTTCATGTGAGCAAAGTAGAACCATTCAATTGATATTTCTTGACACCGTTTCTCACCTATCTTTCCAATTTTTCCCAATTTGACTTTTTTTTACAGGGTGGTTTTAGGACGAAAGTCCAGGAAAACACATTTATTGGCTACTTCGTTGRCTAAAAGACGWTTTGAGTGCAACTTTGCAGAAAAAAATGTACAAAGTTAGAAAATTTAGACGAAATTCAAGTGGCTTTTTGCCAACGTGAGCTCTACGCATTTCACTAATTGTGCTACTCATAATTGCTCAAATTCCAAATTCTGTCCCAGTAATATATTTGAAATAGATTGCATTAGATGAWAAAAGCCTACTTTGGGCTAGTTTCATCGTTAAAAGTTGTTTTGAAGTATTTTTTGAATTGTCCTCTTGCAACTACTAGGTCGAAGTGCTACTATACATGCATATTTATAAAAGCGTTTGGGGTGCTTCGTGTGTTTTTACAAAAATTTCAATTTATAAGTGATCATGGGAGCTAAAATACTCTTCAAAACGTGTATAATCACAACTCCGATGTTTYCATGAGGAAATTATACGGATTTATGAGACGAATTTAGAAAATTCCGYCGAAACCATGTGATCAAAGCTGTGTTGGCAAAAATCAAACATGGCGGACAACTCCTTGCTTACACAAAGATGTTCAGTGAGTGACCGAGAAATCAGCTCACAATCSTTAAAATATACAAATTTAAATTGCATTCATAATAGATATGTGTATATTAAGATGTAAGTTATTACACGAGGCTTAAAAKTGATGCTAAGTTAAAATTAGAAGTCATTTTTCACGTCGAATTCCCAGTGACCTGAAGTTTATACATATCTTGTATCAATTCTCTGTACTCGCCGGCGTTTATCGAAAAGGATCCCACTGTTAGACATTTTCTRAACTTTGTCCAAATAATTTTGTGATCAATTTTATTTATATACCTTACTAAGAGCWGTAAATTGAAGTTTCCTGTGGCAAATGCCATCGAATTGCATCACAAAAGTGACGGGGGATGTGATTTCGCAAAATGTGTTTCGCTCACTTTTTGATAACATCTCAAAAACTTTCTTGGTAGACTGAAGTTTTTATTCTTATATGCTATCATTATTCTTTAAACCTTTTGGTTCGGGTATATYCCGTTAAACAATTCAGATTCGTAGTTTACAACTAAGCTAAACTAATTATTGAAGATGAAATGTGGAAACGAGGAAATTGATCGACAAATCACTTTCACTCCAAATCCCGTTTCTAATAACACGAAAAGTTCCRAATATTTTTAATTGTTTCTTTATTTTTGTGCCAGTATGTGTTTTTTTCTGTTGTTGTTATTKTTAKTTGATTTTAGCCAATATAAGCCTCTGTATATATTGGTCTTTGCTCCGAGTAATTGATAAGAACTAAAAGTTACTCCCGCCTTTTGCGAATTACACTGCCTCTCTTTACTGAAAACAAATCAGTCCAATACTTCCAAAACTGCGAGAAAAGCAAAATCAATGCAAAACCTTTGCTATCAAAAGTAACTTACGTACAATCATTAGATCTAAAGGAAATARTTTTGAATCCGAAACCTATGTGCCTTAGAAAGCCATCTGACAAAATTGTAACCTTCCGATAAATGTAAAAAATAAGTTTCTGATCGGCTTAGATGACAAGCTCTCCGTCATAATTTTACAAAGAGGAGCAAACTAGTTTAAAAACTTTTTGTCATTAATTGTTTTTACTAATTTTTTTTTCGTTCTTTCATGTTTCCTATTTTCTCTCCTAAAAATGCGATTTACGTATTTCACTTTTCTTATTTTTTATTAAGATTTTTTTAAAAAAGAWTATCAAATATCTCTTTTTTCTAAAAAACGTAATGGACGTACATTACTGYAAAAGATTATTGATTGTATTCTTGTCGTTTTAGGTGCGTCAGATTGACTGGGTRAACACGATATGGCCTCAAAATCTCATCGAAGAACAGACAGACTCTACAAATTCTCTCGCTGATATGAAATACCCTAAAGTTAGGAAGTAAGTCACAATTAACGCTTTCAAACGCACAAAATGATTTTTGAAGTYTTAATAACTATTAGGATTTCATCAATCTTTATATTGTTGAGTTATAGATGTCAAATTTTGTCATTTACAAATTTCGTTGTGACCTTGAATTAAGCAAAATATTACTTCGACACATTTTGTTATTTTCACGTAGCTAAAAAGCCCTCATTCATTTTAAAGGTCATTTTATCGTCGAAGGATTCTAGGATTACTTGAAAATGATATTATGTTGAGAAATAGTCTGAGTGGAATCATCGCAATGATGACAAATTATACCTCACTAATTTTGGTATCTCTCGGGATGCGAAAAGTATAAAATCTGAGGGTTTCGTTGTATAAAGCTTGCAATGAATCCATTCAAATAAGAACAGAAAGATCGAGGTGGCTGATTTTATTGTTAGACCACACTTCATAGAGAAAGATAAAATTGTTTACTCCAGTTTTACACAAAAGATGTCGATAATTGATTTGAGTACTAAACGATATTTGTCATGGATTCATGACGCCATACTTGATTACAAGCSAGTGTTTTCATAGTCAAAATCATTGGTTTTATATTATCATAATGCATCTCTATTTGAAGTAATGCTAAGAGTGATTGAAGTTCGGAATATATCTCACTAATAGACATTCCAGTATCAACTTGATGCTCGACATCCGACCTAAAACTGAGCTTGCTTAGCTCAATGCTTTGAACGGATCGTGAACGSATCCTTCGTTATTTCATAATCCATAATGTTCTTTTGAATACTTATGTTTCTGCGCMATTTAAAAATAGTTACCAGTAGTTGATTCACATTTTGGCTGGCAAGATTTGACATCTTTGCCGTGAAGTAATCAAAGCTAACATTGTGGCTACAATTGTATAGTCCACTTGGCCGAGAACCGTCTGCTCGTTTCAAACTAAAAGTAGCCAAAAAATGAAGTCTRATTCTCGTTTCAGCTTTCTAAATTATCCAGAGAGAACGAAAATAACTCAAAAACTATGTRTRATCGATAAAAACCTATTTTTGCCGGGAAATTTGGTTCACAATTCTCRACTTTATTTAGTGGCTGCACTACAAAACGACATAGTTGCGTGACACGGTGACATTTCGACATGTTCAACTCAAAATTTTCCTTTGACTCTGCATTAATCTTGYTCGTTATCCGCAAACTTCGGGAAAATAACAAAAAGAAATTATTCATGAAAGCGTTGGTGGTTTTTTAAGAATGTATTTTTGTGGGTTTTGGTGTCAAAATGGCATTTTATTTCATGCTTAGCTGGTTTGTGTAGCCATCTTGTGTGTAAAAGTTGTACCACGTTGAATGCCATATGCAAATCTAAATTTCCCCTATTGTCATGGCTTTCTAAACTCATCTTACCTTACGAATCAAAGACAATATGTAGAATGAATTTAAAACTAAAATATAAAACTATGTTGCGAGTTAACTTAAGCATACTGACCTCAGTATTGTTCAGGATTTATCCACCATTRCCAATGCTGAGAATTTCAGTTCTTRCTGTGACAATTGACATCGGTAATAACCGAATCCTCGCTATTAATTATGCTGTTTGTCCAATTGGTTTTCACTTGAGAATAAGCCAAAACATATACCTTCTTTGAAGTCTGATTATCTCAATTTCCTTGATGTGTATGATCGRTTTTAAGACGAAGGCACGTAATACGCTAATGAAACACAACACTCCGACTGAACACAAACGCATTCACGTACAGTATTAATGTTCTTTTGTTTGACCTTAAATACATGCAGCAAACTATTTTTTCAATATTTTTGGGCTGTAATTTGGGAAATTAAAAGTTGGGTGACTCCCTACCGAGGTACTTATGATCTTTGGTGTCTTTGATAAATAAAGTCCGAATTTAACTCTCAAATCTTGTTTTAGATATTGTCTCATGAGTGTTGGAGGCTGTTATACTGACTTTCACATCGACTTTGGAGGGACTTCTGTGTGGTATCATATCATAAAAGGCGAGAAGGTAAAATAAAATACTAATTAAAATACAATACTGTAGGAAGACGAAAAAAATACAAAAGTTCGTTGAAAAAATATGTGACTAACGAAAAGAAATTCTGTATAAAAATCTCATATGCTCTTTAGACCTCTTTAGTCTCATTAAAAAATCTTTTCCTTTTGACTTAGTTGGAAGGGTCTTATACCATTTTTGTGCGTTTTTTCAGATATTTTGGCTGATTCCTCCGACTGAAGAGAACCTTCAGTTGTATGAAAAGTGGGTTTTGTCTGGCAAGCAGCAAGATATGTTTTTTGGAGATCAAGTGAAGCAGTGTTCCCGCGTGTTTTTGAAAAGTGGAGACACTTTCTTGATTCCAACAGGTTTCTATTTCACTTCCGTTGTTTTTGTTTGAAGCAATTCATGTCGAAAATCGTTGTGTGGCAAGGAAACACGTTTTTTTTTCAATTCAGGTGTAATCTGAATGGGCGTTCAGCCACTTATCGTGTACTTGTGACATGATGTGTCTTTTACTCTTTTTTGTCTCTTTCCCTCCCTTTCTTCTTTTCTTCATTTGCTTCTCAGTTCCCTCTCAATCCCATTTCTACTTCGGGAGTCTCTGAGTCTCTCTCGGATTTTCTTTTGTCCATGGCTTTCCATGGATTCCTATTTTCACTCCCATTCTCTTGGAACACCTCTTCCGGCTTGCTTTAACGTAAGCACTTTTTTTTCTATAAATCAGGTTGGATTCATGCCGTTTTTACACCTGTTGACAGCTTGGTTTTTGGTGGAAACTTTCTACATAGTTACAGCATCAAAGAGCAGATTCGYATTAGTGAAATCGAAGACAACACCAAAGTAACGTATTTCTTGTAACATTCAATAAGATTCTCACGAGAATCTCAAACTGATTAAAGTATATTGTACTCAAGGACTAGGATGTTCAACTTGACCGTTTTTGATTCTTATAAAAGTACTAACTATTGTAGGTGATTAATCCTAAAGTGCAGGTTTGCCGCTCAAACTTATGTTTTTATATAACAAAAAGCATTGCATGTGTTGTATACTATGCCTGGTTCATTATGAGCATTGTTCCGTAATGATGATTATTTTTATCTATAGTGTAATTTTGATGATCGCGTGACCATCAGTCATCAGTTCTCATCGGTTTCAACGTTTTCCTTTTAAAAAAATAGCGTCCCTTTTTATATGACACGTGATTGTAAGTCCAACATGGGTAGTATTTTTTAATTTGTGAAAACATTTCAAGATTTCATTTAATTTGTTTCATTTTTTCATTCGATGTGAATTAAGCAAATGTCTTATTTTTCGTGTAGGTGCCTCAAAAGTTTCGCTATCCTTTCTATGGGGAGATTATGTGGTATGTCCTCGATAAATACACAARGTTGCTAAAGAAAGACACCGAAGAAAGAAACAAGGCTGGTCCAACGCAAGYAAAATCAGTCAAAACCAAGAAAAAGAGCGAAGAAAAGCGTAGCGTTTCGCCGGACAAGAAAAGTGTGGTWAATGGTGATGACAACAGCAGAAGAAGATCTAGTCGTGTGGCGTCTAARGATACAAAAAGATCCTTCGACGAGCAAGGCTCGCAACCTAAAAAGAAGATAAAACTCGAGAAAACCGATGATGAAGAAAAACCTCASGTCAATGGCGAGACAAATGGCTGTCACAGTGATAGTGAAACCCCCTCGACTGAAACTCCATGGGTCCCGGTGCACGTCACCGAGAAGGAGATCAAAGGATTGGTTAGTTTGATAGAGAAATTTCGTGAGTGGCCACATGCGAAGAAGTGTGTACCACAAACCATTGAAAATCCTGACAAACTACTGGAAGATTTGGAGGTGGGTCACTTTCTAGTTCTTGTGTTAGTCGTACGTTTGCCGTTTCATCACGTTACRYTWYATWACTTGATTGTYTATGGTGTACTTATAGCAATTGCTATCACAACGAGAAGACGACGAGCATTCATTATCAACTGCCAGCGGTATTCAGCACTTGTTTCAAATCGACCCCCCACCCAAGGTAAGTTTCCTTTCTGTACTATGAATTCAGTCGAAGGCTATTATAATAGATCCTTTGGTGTAGCCTCAGTTTCAGCCGTCGCCRGGTYCCTTGCGTCCCGACGGCGGAAAAATGAGAATAGRTCTGTTTCAGCACAAAAAAGRTTGAARTAATGWAGACAATTTACTAGTATTGCCATTTTTTAGAAGGAGAAATCACCTCGCCACAAGGCAGTTCCTATGATGTCAAAGTTTGGTACCAAGGTAGGACCAGGTGTTCGTCGACGACGCACAAGATGTGGTCAGTGTGAAAACTGTCAACGGGAAGACTGTGGTGAATGTCGAACATGTAAAGAYATGAAGAAATTTGGTGGTCCAGGAAGAATGAAGCAGTCTTGTCAAAAACGTGTCTGTCTAAAGGTAAGCACTATGTCATRGCAAGTATTTTATAGACAACTATCATCTCTACATCTGATTTTTTGCTAACGTCTCTCTTTCYGAGGTAGAGGTTTGCATTGCACTGTGGTCTAGATTCGGTACAAACATTTTTTGTTCATGCTGCCAAATATKGTGTTGTTTGTACTGAATCTAGACCACAATGCACCATGATTTTTTGTATTTMAGAAAAGGTCTATATATAGGCCCCTATTGATCTTAGAATTAGAGAGTCCGCATACTGTGAAGTATATAACCCACTTCACAGAGATCAGTCTTCCGATTTTCGTTCTTCTTCATGATCATTATCTCGTTGATCGTTGTCATCTTCAGTCATCTGAATGACATTGGAAACGTAACAATTACTTATGATGCCGTCATCTAAAGGACACGTGATTATCGTCCTATCATCGTAATCGTAATCGCAATCATAATCATTGTCCCAAAATCACTATAGTTATAGTTATTCCAAAATCACTCCTATTATTATCATGTCTCTTAACTCTAATCGTTCCAAATTCATATCTATTTTTGTTATCACCAACTTTATTCAAATCATTGTCATTTGAAAAACAATGTGTGACGACTCCAATTTCTAGTGCATAGGGGGGGAGATAGTCTCCTCGCAGCCGTTCAGGGAGCCCGCCACTAAGAACGGCTGCGAGGAGACTAGGGGGGAGGTGTCACCTTGAAGTATTTCATGTCATAACATGTCATGTGATCGTTCTCTTATATCGTAGCCAAACCTACCGACTTGTGTGCGCTGCCTGGAATGTAACGGKTTYAGTGAAGACGACAARCCRTTGATGGAATGCCGACTGTGTGCTGAGATAGTTCACCCTGAATGCATTGGAGCAGAAGAGGACACTTACAGAATAGTACCCGAGATTAACAACTGCTGGGAATGTCCAAAGTGTTTTAACGACAAAGAAAACGTAAGTAAATGCGATTAAGCAATTACAGTACAAAAGAAGAAGAACAAAAGGTTGTAAGTGATGATGTTGTATACGAACAAACTGGCAGATGACTGAGATAAACAAGAATTGTCGAAAACAATGACTTTAAAGTGCTAACCAAYAATAGAACAAAATATACAACAAAAAATGACAAGCAAACAAGGAACCTGATTAAACAAAAAAAGGAAAAGTTAGCAAAGTATATTTACAAATCATGTGAATACATTGGAATATATTGAACACATGGAAAATGTGAATGAAATAATGAAAAATGAACAGGGAAATGGAACAAATGATCACTGACCATTGTTGTTTTGTTCTCTCAGAAACACGACAGAGAAGAYGATAGTGAACAAGAAATCTCCAACCAATCGGCACCACGAAAACGAAAGGTYCATTAGCAGGTCTTTTCTTTATTACAGGGTTCGTGCTACTCCTTGAAATCCTTAAAAAGTCCTGGAATTGAAAACTCGTTTTCAAGGGCACTTGAAAAGGACTTGAAAATGGGGAAAATCGAGACACTCCTGGAAAACTCCTTGAACCTGATGAATTTGACATTTTGCTTTTTATTTTTTGGATTGATATGTGGCTATTTTCAAAAATCGCCACTGGAAACGTTCGCAAATATCAAACAATGTCTTTAAAAATACTTCTTGAAAATCGCGTATGTGTGCTTAAAAAGTCCTGGAATTTTGTAGTGAAAATGTAGAACGAACCCTGTTATTAGAATCGATTACAGATAATAACAATGCTTGTACTCCGCTGTACATTGGCTGCATGATATTAATTGCTTTTTAAACGTCGACTCTCAGACATGTCGAAATTTATCTTTTTACACKACTGTTTCTTTAGAAACACCGACTCAGCTCACACTAGTTTACCGCTAGTTTCCACCATAGAGCGGATTTCGTATGAGTGGGACACCGTTACCGCACGGTTACCGCACAGTTACCGGACCTGGCCTTCACAGTTTTTGTGAACCAATGGGGCACTAGAATTTGGTTACAGTACGATTACGGTCACAGTACAGTACCGTCTGTTTCCCACTCATACGAAATCTGCTCTATTGCAAACATTGTTCGACTCGTTGATCAGCAGCTATGGATTTAAGTTTGTTTGGTTTTGTGTTCTCATGTGTGTGTTTTTTTGTTGTTTACAGAGCAAAGTATTATCAAAACGACTGCAAAAAAAGGTACAGATGACCTGTTGCTATCTTATTGTTCCCATCCATTCAGTCATTCATTATTACTTTTGTTTATTTCATTCAATCATTTCTTTCTTCTAACCATACGAGAATTCTATCATTTCGTCAATCAGTTTTCCATTCGTGTTCTTTATTT